AGGCAAGAACCTCACCTCAAGAGTGACGAAGGGACGACCACGAACTCACCTCAAGAGTGGACGACCAAGAACTCACCTCAGGAGTGGACGACCACGAACCTCACCTCAAGAGTGGACGACCAAGAACTCACCTCAAGAGGACGACCACGAACCTCACTCAGTAGGACGACCGAACCCTACCTCAAGAGTGGACGACCCAACCTCACCTCAAGAGTGGACGACCAAGAACCTACCTCAGTAGTGGACGACCAAGAACCCACTCAGTGGACGACCAAGAACCTCACCGAGTAGACGACCAAGAACCCTCACCAAGAGGACGACCAAGAACTTACCCAGTAGTGGACGACCAAGAACCTCACTCAAGAGTGGACGACCACGAACCTCACCTCAGTAGTGGACGACCAAGAACCTCACCTCAAGAGTGGACGACCACGAACCTCACACCTCAGTAGTGGACGACCAAGAACCCTCACCAAGAGGACGACCACGAACCTCACCTCAAGAGTGGACGCCACGAACCTCACCTCAAGAGTGGACGACCACGAACCTCAGTAGTGGGACCAAGAACCTCACCTCTAGAGGACGACCACGAACCCTCACCTCAGTAGTGGACGACCAAGAACCTCACCAAGAGTGGACGACCACGAACCTCACCAGTAGGTGGACGACCACGAACCTCACCTCAAGAGTGGACGACCACGAACCCCTCCTCAAGAGACGACCACGAACCTCACCTCAAGAGTGACGACCACGAACCTCACCCAAGAGGGACGACCACGAACCACCAGAGTGGACGACCACGAACCTCACCAAGAGTGGACGACCACGAACCTCACCTAGAGGGACGACCACGAACCTCACCTCAAGAGTGACGACCACGAACTCACCTCAAGAGTGGACGACCACGAACTCACCTCAAAGAGGACGACCACGAACCTCACCTCAAGAGTGGACGACCACGAACCTCACCTCAAGAGTGGACGACCACGAACTCACCAAGAGTGGACGACCACGAACCTCACCTCAAGAGTGGACGACCAATCACTCAAGAGGAACACCGACTCAAAGAGGACGACCACGAACCTCACCTCAAGAGTGACGACCACGAACTCACCTCGGAGGGACCACGCTGAACCCACCTCGAGGATGACCACGAACTCACCTCAAGAGGACGACCACGAACCTCACCTCAAGAGGACGACCACGAACCTCACCTCAAGAGGGACGACCACGAACCTCACCTCAAGAGTGGACGACCACGAACCTCACCTCAAGAGTGGACGAACCACCTCACCTCAAGTGGACGACCACCCTCCCCAAGAGTGGACGACCACGAACCTCACCTCAAGAGTGGACGACCACGAACCTCACCTCAAGAGTGGACACCACCAACCTCACCTCAGGAGGACGACCACGAACCTCACCTAAGAGGACGACCACGAACCTCACCAAGAGTGGACGACCACGAACCACCAGAGGACGACCACGAACCCCACCTCAGGAGTGGACGACCACGAACCCACTCAAGAGGGACGACCAAAACTCTCACCTCAGGAGTGGACGACCAAGAACTCACCTCAGGAGGACGACCACGAACCTCACCTCAGGAGTGGACGACCACAACCTCACCAGTAGTGGACGACCAAGAACCTCACCTCAGTAGTGGACGACCAAGAACCTCACCTCAGGAGGTGGGGACCAAGAACCTCACCTCAGTAGTGGACGACCAAGAACCTCACCTCAGTAGTGGACGACCACGAACCTCACCTCAGGAGTGGGACCAAGAACTCACTCAGAGGGACGACCAAGAACTCACTCAGTAGTGGACGACCACGAACCTCACCTCAGAGTGGACGACCGAACCTCACCTCAGTAGTGGACGAACAAGAACCTCACCTCAGAGTGGACGACCAAGAACCTCACCTCAGTAGTGGACGACCACGAACCTCACCTCAGTAGTGGACGACCAAGAACCTTACCTCAGTAGTGGACGACCAAGAACCTCACCTCAGTAGTGGACGACCAAGAACTCACCTCAGAGTGGGCGACCAAGAACCTCACCAGTAGTGACGACCAAGAACCCCTCACCCAGTAGTGGACGACCAAGAACCTTACCTCAGTAGTGGACGACCAAGAACCTCACCTCAGTAGTGGACGACCAAGAACCTCACCTCAGTAGTGGACGACCAAGAACCTCACCTCAGTAGTGACGACCAAGAACCTCACCTCAGGAGTGGGCGACCAAGAACCTCACCTCAGTAGTGGACGACCAAGAACCTCACCTCAGTAGTGGACGACCAAGAACCTTACTCAGTATTGACGACCAACCTCACCTCAGTAGTGGACGACCAAGAACCTCACCTCAGTAGTGGACGACCAAGAACCTCACCTCAGTAGTGGACGACCAAGAACCTCTGGCTCGGGCGACGCTACAGTCTTCGGGTAAAGTGGAGACGAGGGTTGCTGAGGGTGTTGATGGAGTCCTTGAGGGCGGTGAGGTCCCCCTGCAGCAGTTCCTGGGTCTCCTGTACGTGCGTCATCTGGTCCTGAAGGGCCATCATCTGCTCCGCGCACCTCTGGCGGGCGCCGGCAGCCTGGAGTGACAAGAGAGAAGTGTTAGGGGGTGTGTGTGTGTGTCTCACGAACTATAACACACTTGTTGGAATACGCTATAACAGACTTAAGCTTACAGACCTGACCAACCTAACCTAACCTGACCCGACCAATCCAACCTAACCTAAACCTAACCTGACCTAACCTAACCTAACCTAACCTGACCTGACCTAACCTAACCTAACCTGACCTAACCTGACCTGACCTAACCTGACCTAACCTGACCTAACCTAACCTAACTTAACCTAACTTAACCTAACATAACACATTTAAGTTAAGGTTATCTAACACCATTAAACTAACGTGTAGCCTGGCAGATCGTGTAGCCTGGCAGATGGTGTAGCCTGGCAGAAGGTGTAACGGTGTAGCCTGGCAGAAGGTGTAACGATGTAGCCTGGCAGATGGTGTAGCCTGGCAGAAGGTGTAACGGTGTAGCCTGGCAGAAGGTGTAACGGTGTAGCCTGGCAGATGGTGTAGCGGTGTAGCCTGGCAGATGGTGTAGCAGTGTAGCCTGACAAATGGTGTAGCAGCGTAGCCTGGAAGATGGTGTAGCAGTGTAGCCTGACAGATGGTGTAGCAGTGTATCCTGGCAGATGGTCTAGTATTGTAGCCTGACAGATGGTGTAACACTGTAACCTGGCAGATGTTGTAGTATTGTAACCTGACAGATGGTGTAGCAGTGTAGCCTGGCAGATGGTGTAGCAGTGTAGCCTGACAAATGGTGTAGCAGCGTAGCCTGGAAGATGGTGTAGCAGTGTAGCCTGGCAGATGGTGTAGCAGTGTAGCCTGACAAATGGTGTAGCAGCGTAGCCTGGAAGATGGTGTAGCGTGTAGCCTGGCAGATGTTGTAGTATTGTAACCTGACAGATGGTGTAGTTGTGGAAGTGTAGCCTGGCAGATGGTGTAGCAGTGTAGCCTGGCAGATGGTAGCAGCCTGACAGATGGTGTAGCAGTGTAGCTGGCAAATGGTCTAGTATTGTAGCCTGACAGATGGTGTAACACTGTAGCCTGACAGATGGTGTAACACTGTAACCGGCGATGTTGGTATTGTAACCTGACAGATGGTGTAGCAGTGTAGCCTGGCAGATGGTGTAGCAGTGTAGCCTGGCAGATGGTGTAACACTGTAGCCTGACAGATGGTGAACACTGTAACCTGGCAGATGTAGTATTGTAACCTGACAGATGGTGTAGCAGTGTAGCCTGGCAGATGGTGTAGCAGTGTAGCCTGGCAGATGGTGTAGCAGTAGCCTGACAAATGGTGTAGCAGCGTAGCCTGAAGATGGTGTAGCAGTGTAGCCTGGCAGATGGTGTAGCAGTAGCCTGACAAATGGTGTAGCAGCGTAGCCTGGAAGATGGTAGCAGTGTAGCCTGGCAGATGTTAGTATTGTAACCTGACAGATGGTGTAGTCTGTGGAAGTGTAGCCTGGCAGATGGTGTAGCAGTGTAGCCTGGCAGATGGTGTAGCAGTGTAGCCTGACAGATGGTGTAGCAGTGTAGCTTGGCAAATGGTCTAGTATTGTAGCCTGACAGATGGTGTAACACTGTAACCTGGCAGATGGTATAGCAGTGTAGTCTGGCAGATGGTGTAGCTCACAACACAATAGTTTCCGCGTAATGTTGAAGGCATTATTGTGTTTCCTGATCCGCTCACCTGCCTTTACCAGGTTCTGAGCACACACAACACACACACACACACACACACACACACACACACACACACACACACACACACACACACACACACACTAAACCTAACCTAACCTAACCTAACAAGAGCATTATTCCCCCCAGTACGGACACGAACCTCCTTGGGCTGCAGAGAACAAAAACTCGTCTAAGATAGAATATAAAACAAGGAAAAAAATATAAAAGAAATAAATGAGAGAAATAAAAATGAAGGAAATTAAGCTAAGGAAGGAAATTAATCATTTTACAAGAATATGTTATTTTTCTTGCTGTTTCCATTATGTTAATTAGCTTTAAGGAAAAATGGTGAAAATGCTGTAAAGTGAGGCTGTTAATGCTGTGTTTACGAGAAGTTCCTGCTTAAAAAATACGTTAATGGTATTATTATGTGAGGGTTTACAGATACAGCGGAGAGCAACACAGCAGAAGGCAACACAGCAGAAGGCAACACAGCAGAAGGCAACACAGCAGAAGGCAACACAGCAGAGGCGCAACACAGCACCACACAGCACCACACGGCACCACACAGCACCACACGGCACCACACAGTTGTTTTTGTTCATTGTTATTACGATATATAATGAGTGTGTGAAGATGATTGTAACACACACACACTCACACACACTCACACACACTCACACACACACACACACACACACACACACACTACTACTTTGCTGTCACTCTGTATCGAGTATGACGATCATCAGCTGTGATACAATGATATGAGTTATAAGATGTCACCTTCACTGGTGAGCTCTGAGGTGACTAAAGAGACCGATACGGGACCGACAGAGTCGTTCACATTCGTTGAACATGTGCAGGGCTCCATCTACTACGGAGGGCGGCAGCGTCTTTCCGGCATTGGCGCTTGTCTGCCTCGGTTTCCAGTCGTGCTAACTCGAAAGTAATGACACCTTCTCGTGAGGCACTCCTCCGCGCATGATGATGGAGTAATCGTCCCCCAGGTGAGGGTCGATTTGGCACTTTTTCAGGTTTGTCTTAAGTCTATCCTTATACTTTCGTGCTGCTGCCAGCATTACGTTTACTATTTGTTAAGTGACTGTAAAGTAGCTGCTTTGGCAATCTACTATTGTCCAGGCGGGTATTGCCAGTCCAGCGTAGCTGTTCAGGGATAATGGTAGCCTCGATGCCCAACAGTTGGTGTCAGCAGGAATACTGGCATTTGTTCTCTTTGTCTTCCCAGTGAACTCGGAGGATGGAACGTAGACTACGTTGGTGGAAAGTTTCAAGTGCCTTGAGGTGCCTCCTGTATGTGATCTATGTCTCATTGCCATATAGCAGGGTGGGGAGGACCAATGCTCGATACCACGTGCAGCTTTGTAGATAATTTCAGCTCCCTACAGCTGAAGACACGATTTCGGAGTTCCCAAAGGCTTGAGATGCACATCTGATCCGATGTTGAATCTCTTCATCGACGTCTGCGGTGGTGGACAGGTGGGAGCCGAGATACCGAAAGTGGGCAACATTAGAGAGGATAGGTTGAAAGAGAATCTGAATCTTACGTACATTCACATCATGGCCGAAGTATGCATACGCATCTGCGTAGGTGTTCAGGATCTCCTGTAGTCCTGTAGGTCATGTTCAGTGTAAGCAACAATGGTGAGGTCGTCTGCATACTGAAGTTCAGTCATGGAAGCTGACGACACCTTTGTTCTGCCCTGGAATCGTCTTGAAAAGACTCCCCCTTTCACCCGGTACTCGATGTTTACCCCGCTGGCTAAATTGGCACTGGCACGAGTAAGGAAGGCAGCCAACAAGATGGAAGAGAGTTGCCAGTACACACCCTTGTTTAACTCCTGTTTAGATGGGGAAGAACTCTGACTGGGTGCCGTTGTGCAGGACAATGCCGTTCATGCTATCGTGGAGTTGCCCCCACAATGGCGATGAATTTTGGTGGGCTTCCCTGTTGACCGAGTCGAAGGCATTGGTTAGGTCGATGAAAGCCATGTACAGGTCACGACGCTGTTCTCTGCACATTTCCTGTATCTGGCAGACAGCAAAGATTATGTCAGTGGTGCCACGTGATGGTCTAAAACCACATTGAGATTCGGGAAGGAAGTTTTCCGCCTCAGAAAGAAGTCTGTTTAGGAGGACTCGAGCGATAGACCTAGAAGAGAGCATGCCAGAGAGTGAACCCAGTCTGATCCTCGTTAGATTGATGGAGGCGTCTGAAGAGCATGAGGAATTTTTCTATATTCTCCAGGAGAGAGTGGAGACTGCAAGTAAGCAGAGGTTCTCCTGATTTATACACCCGGCTGGGATTCCACTGGTTCCTGAAGCTTTGTTATTTTTCATCTGTTTGATGTGGTAGCTACCCATCCAGGGATGGAGGATAGCTGAGGTGGGTCAGCTCTGGATATTGAGGGACCTGCTGGGTAGTCAGGACATCCCATCAGTGTTCTGGTTGAGCAATGAATGGTAGTGTTTTTTCGAGAGCTGAAGGAGTCCTTCATCGTCTTTAATTATGAGGTTACCGTCAGATGAGCGACACACAGACAAT